GATCTCTAACATTGGAATCATGTAGATTTTTATACCTATTATTTCAAATTGTGTTAGATTGATTTGAATAATTGTTTGTGTTGGAAAATAATAAAGGTAGGTGGAACTTATCGGTAATCGCTTTCTAAATCGAGAATTTGTTAGAGTGAAGTGATGTAGAACTGTAAAACTTGTAGAGAAAATGATGGCTGAGTTGTGCCACTTGGTCACTCTCCTTAAAACCACATTTGCCTATACGATGCAGCCGAGTAATGGAAAATTGGTTTCCAAGATAAAACAGCCCATAGGCCACTGGTAGGCATGCACTCGCTTATTAGACATTCGCGAACCACAGAGAGATGTTGCTCAAATTTGCAGAGAAGACAGAGAAGAAGAATGTCGAAAATGTTTTTGTGTATAAAAACTGGGTCAACCAATACTCCTTTTATAGTGTTCTTAGACCCGAATGGACACAAAGGTGTCCTTTTAGACATGGACCTCTTCAGAACAGTACACCTGTTTGAAGAGACACAGAAAGGAGGAAACACGAACAGGAAAAGAAAACTGTTCAAAAAATAGATACGAAATTAAAATTCAAATGATTAATTCGGTTAAAAGCAAAATTGATTCAGTGATGCAGAACTTATTAGTAATCGCTTTCCAAACCAAGAATTTGTTGGAGTGAAGCGATGTAGAACTGCGAAACTGAGAACTTGTAGAGAAAATGAGGGCTGAATCGTGCTACTTGGTCACTCTCCTTAAAACCGCATTTGTCTCATATGGTGCAGCCGAGTGATGGCAATTTAGTCACCAAGATAAAACAGCTCACAGGCCACTGGTAGGCATGCACTTACTTATCAGACTTTCACGAATCACAGAGAGATGATGCTCAGATTTGTAGAGAAGACAGAGAAGAAGAATGTCAAAAATGTTTTTGTGTGTAAAAACTAGGTCAACCAACACTCACTTATCAGATACAAAGGTGTCATTTCAAACAGGGACCTCTTCAGAACAGTACACCTGTTTGAAGAGACAAACAGAAAAAGAAAACTATTCAAAAAATAGATATGAAATTAAAATTCAAATGGTTAATTCGATTAAAAGCAAAACTGATTCGGTGTAATGCGCGTATACCCACCCGTGCCACACAGAACGTGTTATCCCACAAAACTCGAATTCTTAAAAAGGGTGACGAGTGAAATCATCAAAAAAGGTGTATAGTTCTCTCCTCACAAATGAACTCACACGGGGAATAGAGAACTAGGTAGAAAAATTTGCAAGTACTCAATGACATGTTTTGAGAAATTAGAGATATTATGTCCTTGTAGGGGTGGTGAGAAAATTTGGGTAGCCTTTGAACTTAATTGTTTATCACTAAGATTTCTTAAATATCTTCACGGTGCGAGGCTGAGCTTGTAATTATTGTGCATACTCTTGCATCTCATAAAGTTTGGATGTATGTATTATTATCAACGTGATAAGAGGCATTTGTTGCATTTATGCTTACATTAATATATTGATTGTAATCTATGTATTATTTTGAACATCATTAAAAGTATAGTTGGCACCTGTAAGTTAACTGTTCAGGTTTGGTTTACACCCGAAAATTCAACCAGTTCAAGTCTTATAGGCACCCAAAAGTCTGAAATGTTTGGTTGATACCCAAAAATCCAACTGTTTTAGTGAAATTCTAAAGAGATTGATTGAGGAAAAAAAAAACATAAGCCTAGATTCGGTCGAACCTTTACAAAAGTCCTTGTGTGCTTTATTTTTCTTCAATCGTTTATTTGTTCATCTTACTTACTTATTAGATTGTTCAGCTATTTGCATTGTATTGATTAGCACACATGTAAGGGTGTTAATGGACCGGTTTTGGATTGGACCCCATCCAGTCCAAAATCAATTTGGACGGATTGGATTGGATGAATAAAAAAGACAATGGATTGGACTAGTCCGGTCCAAAGTATTTATTAGATTGGACTGGACCTGGTCCGCCCGTATTGAATTTGATTGGACTAAGCCAATATCCGGTCCATTGATATATAAGATAAGAATATAGGTGTCAATGGACCAGGTTTGGGTTGAAACCAATCTAAATTAAAATGAATTTGAACAAATTGAATGGTCAAAACATTGAATTGGATGAGTCCAAAATGGACATTGGATTGGATTGGATCCATTTGTAATGGACTCACATTGGACTGGATCGGATTGGACCAAATCCAGTCCAATCGGTACCCCTACACACATAGACAGTGTCCCACTCCATCAAGTTCCCTTTTAGTTAGGATATCTAGGAAATAATAGTATAAGTAGAAGGACAATCGTCTATCAAAACATGCTCTACATCAAACAATATTACAGTTGAATTTGTAGCAGATTTAACATTTAACTCTCTAAAAGGGATTAGGCATCTTTCCTTATTCTCATTAGGCTTAGATTTTGGCTTCATTGCAGCAATCTTCTTCCCTTTTGAGTTGTTCTTGGAGGCAATGTTAGCACAAGGAACAACATTGCCAAACAACTTAGAATGCTCAAATCTAATTTCATATTCAACAATAAGGCCAGAATATCATCAAAGCTATAATCATCAGCCCAAATAACAATGGAGGTCACCGGAGATGCAAACTTTGGAGCCAAACCACTAGTAACATATTGTATCGTCTCTGAACCTAAGATGAGCCAATTGAGACAAGACTATCACATATAAGTCGAGCCCGTTGAATATAGTCTGCCATACCTTGATTCCCTTTCTTTGTGTTGTGAAAGTTCAATCCGAAACTGCATTGTCCTAGTTAGCCCTCAATTTGGATGAAAAGGGACTGGGGCAGAGTTAGGAACAAAGTTTTTAAAACTGGACTGGACAAGGAACCGTTCTGGGTCTGGTTCCCAGGTCGAACGGTCTGACTGCCCGGTTTGAATAAATGGTCCATTCTGACCAAAAAAATAAAAATAAAAATAAAAACACCAAAAAAATGGCCAAAAAACGTTCCTGGGTCGAATGATTCGACAGTTTGACCACCCAAGTCAATGGTTCGCTGACCAAATCAATAACTTTTGGCCAAAAAAAAAAACGATTTTGGGGTAAAACAGAACAACTGGTTAAGTGACCATTCCCAGTTTTTCCAGTCTGGTCCAGTTTTGAAAACATTGGTTAAGAATTTTTTATGAGGGGGGCTAAAACCTAAAATAGATGGGGGCGGGGGTACATGGCTCCCCTGGGTTCCCCCTAGCCCCACCCCTGCAAAAGAGACAAGCTAAGGCTGTCCCACAATGACTTGGAAGAAAGTGTATGCCTGCGATGAGAGAAGGCATAGGCCAACTGACCAGAAATAGAAATTGGTCTTATTGTTCCTAGAGAATTAATGGATCCATCAAAATCCTGAAATTCCCTTCTCACAAACTAGGTTGGACAATTAATGGATCCATCAGCGTATCGTAAAGGCTCTCAAATTTTCAGAACCGGAATGAATTGGGAATTGGGATCTCCAAAGAAAAAAACTATTTCAGTCGACTTTGACCACAATGAGATGAGATACTGTGGCAGGATGTTGAGGTTAACAATGGTATCAGGAATACTTCACGCCTGAAGCTCGTTACTCAAATATCATAAAGAATTCGCAGTTTGTACTCTCGCTCAAGAACAAGAGCGAGAAAAGAAAGATATTTATGTAACTTTGTATGCACATTTGTCATGCTTGTATAAAAGATGTATACAATAAAGGGAATGTCTATGAATATGATTGAAGAGCTTTGATGACAAATCAAAGCAATCAAAGCACCCTTCCTTCGTTAATCTCTTTTACAATGCTAGTTGATTTGGCTGTATAAGTTTTCTTCTGATATCATGTTGAAATCATACAACAGATGTAGTGATAGGGTTAATCACATCAATGGAAAGGATGGAGATGAGAGAGGATAAGGGTGTCCTTTCGGTTCTCTATAATAGGTGCCTATCGGAATGGGCCATTCCAACCAAATGGGATTCCCCCATATGGGGGAATGGGATTCTCGTTCTAGAGTCTGTGACTGTGAGTTAGAGGAAGTAACGAACTCGAACTCCTGACAAAAATAATCCAAACCTTAATATTAGTAAAATAGTAATAAATCAATAATAAAAACAAAGATATTAATTATTAAATATAATAATAATACAATATTAATAAACTATTCATAAAATAACAATAACACATTAATAATTAAATAATAAAATATTATTAAAGTAATAATGAGATGATGATAATAATAATAATAATAATAATAATAATAATAATAATAAAAAGTATTTGTAATTAAGTAATAAAATAATATTACAATAATAAAATATTAATAGAATATAATTAAAGTAATAATAGAATAATAATATATTAAGTATTAAATAATAATAAATAAATTATTCATAAAATACTAAGATATTGATTATTAAATACTAATAAAACACTAATAAAATAATGAAATATTAATAAACTAATACAAAATTGAAAACGTTTTGATTGATTCCAACTCCAAATGAAACAAACAGCAATGATTGAAATCCAATTCCAATTCTCATCTAAAACAAGCAGATGTTGGGAATAGACAATTCCAAGGGATTGGGATTCCGATTCCAATTCCTGACCGTGGAACAAATGGACCCTAAGGCTATGCTTGGTTTAAAGTAAAATGTAGGGAAAGGAAGGGAAAGACAAAAACGTATACAAGATTTGTGAAGATTTCTCTACCTTTCCCTACCTTTTCCTTCAAACCAAACAGGCCTAAGGTGATTTATCCTTTTTTATCCTTGCACTGCTGCATGGATGATGTGGAATCATCTATATCTCCAATCTTCTAAGTTCAAACTTCTTTGCGTGCAACAGTGCAGGGTAAGTTGGAATGCATTGGCAGGTGTCAACAGAGCAGGGTCCTGGTGATTTTGTTCGGTGACCAGTTTTTGCCATCAATTTAGTCCTGTTTTGAGTGTTTTCAGTGGCATCTTTAATATACTATCCAATACTTCACACGTCTAAACGACCGTCTCAAAATTCTAGTCAACTTGTTTTCATCTATCTTATAGCACGTGCGACTCAACTAATCTGTATAAAGCCACAGAAAATTCAATCTACAAACTAAATACAGTACAGAGGTCAGAGCCCAGAGGCAAGCATCATTTCAGGCGGACAAAAGAGAACGATAACTGGAAAGTGGGTTTGGCTGAGGGGTGTCAATAAAGAGAACTTCACAAAACTCCCCAGTTGCCATGATACATTGGTTCCACGGTATCTACAGACTCGCTAGTAATTGCCTCAACTCAAGTAAGATTAACACAATTACCTATATGTTATGTGTAGATGTATAGATAAAACATATTTAAATATATCCCTCTGAGAGGAGGAACTCTCACTGTATGTCCACAGCGTAAGTGGATCACTGTCAACATGGGAACAGTAGTGGCGATCCATCTCTCCGCAATTTACCCCCTGATAGTTCAAGTTTGTTCATCTTTTCTTCGCACCAGAATAACTGCTCTTTGCTGATCCTCACCATTCTCAGAACCCTCATTATGACTTTGACATCAATGAGGCTGAAAAATAGTTCAGTTTCCTCTATCGTTGCAGGCCAGGATTTCTTCTTCAACCCCTTCTTTTTACAGAGTTCTTTCAGTTTCATTTCTTTCTGCAGTTCAAAATTTGTATAAAAGTTGAAAAACATGATCAGTTCCTAGAAGCAAGACTATAAAATCTCCAGGCAATTTAAATGCATAGGTTAAATTCTACAAGCATAAGATCCATCACATCGAACCTAGATTATAGAAACCAACTTGCTACCACAGGAGTCACTTGGGTACAACAATTAAATAAATTTTAGTTTTAACAATTACATGCACAATTATTAAAATAACTACAACTATAAAACAAATAATCATTTCTTTGATCTATGAAATTAAGAAAGCTTCTTTACATAATGAAACCCAGAGCATAGCTGTAACAACTACTCTTTATCCTAGAAGATAATACCTAAAGAATATTATCATGCAAAGTAGAAAGATAAATGTTAGGTATCAATAAAAAAAGATAAATGCAATATAAACAGGTTCTCCAATGTTCGAAACAAATTATGACAATAAAAACAGAAGAATTTTATATATACTGAACCAAATAGCCATATTTATGTAGGAAAAACCAGAGGATCTATGCATCTTACATACAGACAAACAGGTAAAACTTGTGACCAACCAATCAGGTGGTATTTATCAAAATTTATGGGTGGGTTTTGATTGGTCAAAAACTCATCCAGTACCATATTCCGGCATTGTAGATTTTCTCATATACATTACATAAACAAATAACACCACTTGCTGAATATTTCGGGCAACACTTTGAAGATTGAAGAAAGTCACAGGGAGCATAAGAACGGGCTTAAAGCATTGTGTAATTCATTAATTCCAAGAGAAATGGTGTAAGATGATTTTTTTAATGAATATGGTGTAAAATGATTTTCAAGAGAATAATTTTTGCTAGGGCCGGGTGAATACATGAGAACTAAGAATTAACGATATAAAACAAAAGTAGTTTCATTGAATTGAATATGATGAAATCGTGATTAACAGATCAAAGAACTGGGAGAATAAATGAGCCAAATCTTCTTTTTTGGCTGGAGTGCAAGGAAAGAACAACTAGCAAGGACAATAAAAAGCTTTTCCACTTTTAGAAACAAAATTAAACCTCCGAATCATAGGAAAATTCTGCTACTGGTTGGCAAGCAAGGGGTTGTACAGAAAGAATTTGTGATTTCTAAGATACAGAATGACAATAAGAATTCCTCTGTTAGGGCATATTCATTTGCTCTGAAGTCTGACACCTGAAAGTGCAATAATTACATTAAGAGGTAGATTGGTATTGGTGAACTTCTCTTTCCTCTGAACTCTGAATGCAAAGAATGTTGTTCTGAATTCTGAAAATTATCAAATATCCATTTTCACCCTATATATGAGAGTTTTTGTTTGTCTTTTTGGGGTATCATTGGAAAACAAAAAGTTGTATGATTGCACTTTAAGAAATAAGAGGAAACGAACAACCATTTTTCTCTTAAAGTTACAAGATTCCTCTTAAGAGATAAGAGTTAAGAGGAAACGAACAGACCCTTAGTTAGATATAGTGTAAGAATAATGTCTCGGGATGTGTGACTTTCAGAAGCTAGGAAGGCCCTTAGTTAGTCTTTTTGGGTTTGTTTTTTTTTTCTTTTTTGGGGTGGTGAGGAGTTTGCTAGGAAGGCCTTTGAAAAGAGTTTGAGAGAAAGGGAAGAGAAGCTGAATAAAAAAGTGCTGGAAAGAGGAGGCAAAGCTTGGAACGAGGATTCTTCAGACCAGGAGGGTGAGTTCGTTGATGAAGACTAAGCTCTTTGCCAGGAGTCCGAATCTGCTCCTCACACCGACCTCACAGTATGTCCTAGCCATGCATTGGGAACATCTCCAGTATTTGTATTTATTATTCACGAGGAGATGTTCCCAATATATGGTAGGGTGTAGCTGTAAGGTCAGTGTGAGGAGTGCTCTGTGAGAAGCAGATCCCAGTTCCTTTACCAGGCATTTCAAGGCTCTTTTGTCCTTTGTTCGAGTCTGTTTGTCAAGTCTTTAGTTTATAAGTTGTGTGGTTGTTTATTCGGTTTTGTTAAAGGTCTTGATGTCGATTTGTTGGGTCCTTTGGTTGTGTTCCTTCTTTGGGTGATGTCTTATCACCTTCCTGTTATCATTCTTTTTCCTTTTTAATGAAATTTTCTTTTTATCCTTCAAAAAAGAAAGATATGGTGTAATGCTGCAAGAGTAGCAAGATATAGAGACTGAGTCCAGTATTCCATGCATCCTCCTACGGGGTTGTCTAATAATTCAACACACTAGGAATTAAGAAGGTTCCAAATTCCATAATGCTTGAGATAGTCGAAACTGGAGCTGTCACCTAGATATAGAAAGGATATTCCACAATGTTTGGAAGTTCTCAACACGATACGGCACCATAGCACAGGTATCCAAGTATCATACAACTGGAGATGATAAACAAGCTACAAAATGTTCATGATCTGCCCTCTTGTCAGTCCCAATGTAACTGTAAATGAAATGACTGTTGTAGAGGGAGGTCTATCACTCAATTTTGCAAAACCATTTTTTCTGTGTCATTGTTGTAAAATGTAATATATAATGCCACAAGGTACCATTGGCTTTTTACTCTTCATCAGGTTCTCTTGTATTAATACAGTGGTCGGCCGGCACTTTTACTTGTTGACCTCCTCCAAGTTTTTTTCTTCTTTCCTCCCTCTCTTCTCTTCTCCTCCAACTGATCTATTGCAGGAAACATTGTATCAGAGAACATGAACTGCTTTAGATCAGTCCTTCCTCAAACTTTATTTCCCTTTTGAAGAAGACCTAAAATACTCCTCATCAGATCGATCTAAGGAGAACTGCTGATCTCTTTTTTCTAGTCTTACTCCACTAGTTGAGATCACATAACACCATCCTATGGAAACCGTCCATGTGCCAACTTTTCAAGCTGCCCAAACTTATCATTGCTTAGAATATTTCAAGTATAAGGAGTAAGGTCATCCAGATCAATGATTTAAAAACCATGCCTAGGATCAAAGGTGAGACACATTTTAGGGTATGTGCCTCGCCTATGTCCTAGGCGCAGCACTTTCAAAAGGCACACCACTGGTGTGCCTTGTGCTTCAGCCCAAGCACGTGTCTTTTGAAAATTTGTGCATTCTTTCCCAAATTGTCCAAGCAATTGCTGCTCTAGTGCATCTTCCCATAATTCTGTCTCTCCTATTAGAACACCTGAAGGAGTGAGAGCTAAAGAGGCTTTACAAATTAGCAGGAGGAATCCATCTACAACCAAACAGAGAGGAAAACCACTCCCAAATGAAATTAGCAATAGGACAGGAAATTAAAAGATGAAAGGCAGTCTCACCATTCAGCTTACATAAGAAGCACCAATTTGGTCTTTTTCTATAAAGCAAATCACAAGTATTGACGAAGCCATTGAACACTTCCCAACAGAAAGCACCAACTTTAGGAGGAATGGGGCGAAGCCAAATCTCCTTGAAGGGAAAGAATGAGAGGATGTGGCAACAAGAGAGAGCAAGAAGGATTTGCAAGAGAGAGACCCGGATTGATTAAGTGTCCAAACTCTAGAGTCTGAGTCACTACCCCCCAAAATCATCGCGTTCAACAAGTTAACCAAAGCGGAGACACTGGACAATTCAGATTCTCTCAGATTTCTAACAAAACCCAGATTCCAACTAAAGTTTGTAAGTGAAGAGGAAGAGCTAATAAAATCACAAATGGGTTTTCCTTTAAGACCGGAAAGAGCAAAAATGGAAGGGAACACTTCGGACAGGGGGGAATCCCCAATCCAAATGTCCTCCCAAAACCTAATTTTCTGACCCAAAACCAAATCATACTTGATGTGGGGAAGGAACAAAGGAAGAATGCCATGGATGGCCTTCCAGGGAGCAACCAAAGTAGCTCTATGCAAACAACCCGCATCCCAACCATTGCTTGACAGCCCATGGATACTTGAGATAACTGTAGTCCATAATTTCTCATTTTCTTTAGGGAATGAATCTTCAAAGCCATTTACTTAACAAAGCCATATTTTTCAATTTCACATATCATATTTCCAAACCCCCTTCACCACCTTTTCCCACCTAACCAAATGGTCTTTTTTCCCCTCCCCAAGCTCTCCCCAACACAGAAGACCAGAATATCATCTACAAACTGCAAGTGTGAGACCGAACCTTTGTCTCTCCCAACTGTCCAACCTTTGATCAAGTGCATCAAGTTAGCCTTTGAAATTAATTTACTCAAAACCTCAACTGCCAAAGTAAAGAGAAAGGGAGAGAATGGATCTCCTTGTCTAAGACCTTTGATCCCTTCAATGAAATCAACTACAGTACCATTCACTAGGACAGAAAAATGACTTGTTTGCAAACAACCTTTAATCCACCTACATCACAATTCCCCAAACCCACACCTTCCCATGATGTCAATCAAGAAACCCCAGTGCACTAGATCATAGGCCTTCTCCAAATCGAATTTAATTGCTACCCCCCTCCCCTTTCGCCTTTTTTGAGCCTCCACACACTCACTTGCGACTAGAATTTGATCAATAATTTGTCTATCTAGAACAAATGCTCCTTGGTATTGGGAAATAATAGAGGGAAACACCTTTTTAAGCCTTAGAGACAGAACCTTGGCAATTACCTTATAGATGCTAGTCACTAAACTTATAGGTCTAAAATCTCCAGACTGGGTGGCATCTTGCTTCTTCGGGATCAAAGCTAAGAAGGTTGAATTCATCCCTAGGCTAATTACTCCCCGTCTATGGAATTCCTTGAACACTTTCATCAAATCATTTATTATTATCTCCCAATCTTGATAGAAATCCATTGTGAATCCATCAGGCCCAGGAGCCTTAGATCTATCCATAGAGAATATGGCTTCTTTGACTTCAAGTTCCTCAAAGTTCTTCTCCAAAGATTGTACCTGATTCTCTTCCAAACACTCCCATTCTAGTCCATCAAAGTCCACCTCTCAGTAAATGGCCTACAAAAATTTGATTTGAAGTGATCAACAAAGGCTTTAGCAATTTCTTCTTGATTTGTGATCTCAACCCCTCCCACTA